ATTTGTTATAAATGAAGTCTTTTCCTGATCTTCCGGGTTCATCTTGATTTGGTTGCACCGAAATAAGCATCGAGGAAACTCATTAACTCATGCCCGGCCGTGGCATCAATCACTTGATCGATATTTGGCAGTGGGAACAAGTCTTTCGGGCATGCCTTACTAAGATCCTTTTAATCTACACACATGCAAAATTTATTGTTCTTTTTAGGAACTTCTACTACATTAGCTAGTAGTCTGGATATCTTACCTCTCGGATCGAACCGATATTAAGCAAACGGGTTACCTCTTCTTTGACAAATTTGTTCCTGGCTTCGGCAATAGGGCGCTTCTTTTGTCTTACCGGAGGTGTGTTGGGATCCAAGCTTAACTTGTGCATGGCTACCTCCATCGAGATACCTGTCATATCCTCGTGCAACCACGCAAAACAATCGGCATTAAATTTAAGAAATTCGATAAAAGCATACTTGAGTTCCGGGTGTAGTCCCGTCCCCAAGTAAACTTTCCTTTATAAGAATTCTTTGAACAATGCAACTTGCTCGAGTTCTTCCGTCATGGACTTCGTTGCATCCGTCTCTTCTGGAACTTGGAAATATATCGGCACATGATACTGTTCCGATGCCTTTTCCCCGAGCTAACTTCTTCTGGTTCGGGAATAGGTGTCGGTTCTTGTAATTGCTACGCCTTGTGTTCCTTTCCTGTGCTACTGGATACCGCAATCTCATTCATCTCTCTTACTGCCGGTTGATCACCCCTCATCTGCTTGATTCCTTCGGGCATTGAAAACTTCAACAATTGGTGATATGTTGAGGGCACAACTTTCATCTCGTGTAACCCTGGACTTCCCAGGATGATATTGTATCATATATCACCATCTACAACTTCAAAAAGGGTTATTTTCATTACCCCTTCAGCGTTTGTGAGCAATAAAATCTCTCCCCGGGTCGTCACGCTTGTGCGGTTGAATCCGGCTAGGAGCTTTGTGGCCGGAATAATGCTTCCGGTGAGTTTAGCTTGCTCCAATACTTTCCATTTTATGATATTAGCCGAACTTCCTGGATCCACTAGAACACGTTTAATTTTAAAATCTAACATATTTAAAGAAACTACCAGTACATCGTTGTGCGATAGCAGCAATCCGTTTGCGTCTTCCTCCGTAAAAGTGATATCGTTTTCCCAGAGCCTTTTGCTATGAGTTATTAGTACTTTCGTATTCTTTGCCGCTAAAAAGGTGACCCCGTATATCTCATTCCCGCCGAATATCATATTGATCATTTGTCGTGGGAGTTCCTCTCTTGATTTCGAGGGTTCTGTGTTGTCTCTGTTACGACCATAATTATTCTTAGCTCGGTCACTTAAGAACTCTCTGAGGTGACCATTCTTCTATAGTGTTGCCACTTCTTCCTGAAGGTGTTGACAGTCCCCTGGCCGGTGATCACCGTTCATCCTATGGTATTTACACCATAAGTTGGGATCCCTCTGGTTGGGATCAGATCTCATTGGTCTTGGGAACTGTGCCTCCTTGATGTTTCTCATGGCTGACACCAATTCCACTATGCTAATATTGAAGTTGTATTCTGATAACTTGGAGTAAGAAGGATACTGTGACCCCGACATTTATTTATCCTGTAGTGATCTATTTCTCCATCCACGGTCGGTCCTTCTGTCAATAGAGAACTTGTCTGCTGTCCGGAAGCTTCTTCCACGTCCTTCGGTCCGCTCATAGGGCAAAAATCGGCCCCTCAAAGTACGTATGTCCGTGTCGTAATCATCTTTTGATTTTTCTCTGTTCTTCTCCCGTCCTTTGGTCGACGATGGAAAGCCAGCATGCTCATCTTCGATCCTTATTTTTCACTCGTACCGGTTATGGACATCCGCCCAAGTCATTGCTTGAAACTCAAGCAGGCTCTCCTTCAGCTTTCGGGAAGCGTCTGAACTTCTCAGATTCAGTCATTTGGTGAATGCTTCAGTTTCCCATTCATCCGGGACTGGCGGGAGCAATATTCTTTCCTTCTGGAATTGGGTAACGTACTCTCGTAATAACTTGGACTCTCCCTGTGCAATCCTGAATATATCGGCCTTCCGGGCTTCCACTTTTTTGGCCCCGGCATGAGCCTTGATGAAAGAGTCCGCTAGTATTTCAAAGGAATCTATGGAATGCTCGGTTAATAGTGAATACCACGTCAAAGCTCCCCTCGCGAGAGTTTCTCAAAATTTCTTTAACAACACAGATTCAATTTCATGAGGAGCTAGATCATTTCTTTTTACCGCCATTGTGTAGGTGGTAATATGCTCCGGAGGGTCTGAAGTTCCATCATACTTTGGCACTTCAGGCATTTTGAACCTCTTCGGGATTAATTATAGTGCCACACTCGGCTTGTATGGCAATTGAGTATACTTCTTTGAGTTCGGATCCTTCAGTACTGGTGGCGCGCCCAGGGTCTGGTCCATGCGGGCGTTCAATTCCCTCATAAACCGTAAAAGTTCACTTTTGAGTGGGTCGTTCTCGTTATTGAGACCGGATCCGCTCCCCCCAGCCCCGTCGGAACCAACTTCACCATTGGGGGTGTTGTTTGTCGACCCTCTGTGTTGTTGGTTTGCAGGAACACCGAGATGAATTGGATCTCGTTTGTTTGCATTATTTGAATCCCCCGACAGCGCCTGCTTCAACTCCGTCATAACCTTATCGTGTCGCGTGAGATGGCCTAGAATGATCGCATGTTGCTTTTGCAAGACTCTTACGACGTCAACGATATGTTACTCATCAGCATCATCGGGAGTCGTCTCCCAATCATGTCGAGGATACTTACTGTCATGCATCGGTGTGGTGCCATTCCCCTCATTGTGTGGTGTTACTGATTGTTGATCTCCTCGAACCTCGGGGTTGTGCGTGTTGTTAACAGTGTTACCTGCCATTTCTTATGATCTTTTCTAAGACAAAATAATTAAAGCACGTTAGTTAAAAGGACAAGGATCAATTTAATTGCACGACTATCTAGGCCCTGCGGTGGGCGCCAAACTGTTTACCAGTAAAACGATATAGTTGAATTTATACGTGGTTTCTAGACAAGTGAACTAATTTGATCCTGAAAGTGATAAAATAAGTAAAGAATTATGCAATACTTAGCCTTAAAATGCAGATGAAATGGCAAAGATGACAATTCCGAGAATAAGGTTTCCGGGCACGGCAATGATGAAATCAAAAATCGAGAAAGTAAAATTGTATTAAGCTTTGTATAGAATGTAGTATAAGTTTGCCAGAAAATTCGTGTCATTTACAATGATAACTGAGCTCACTATTTATAGCTGTGTCTAGGGATGGAGGTCCTAGGATCGTGCCATCCTTTAATGTCAATTATGGAGGCCATTGATGAAGATATAACGGTAGACATAAATGCCAAATTCTCTGTAATGGACGGTTGCTCTTAATGCCGCAAAAATATTCTTTATTAAATGCTACCGGGCGCAGAGTATTTAATACACATTTATGAAAGTTATCTCTTCCGGTGATAAGCGGAATATCTGTGTTCACTCTTCGGCCATCCCCATCTTGGATTCCACGTGTCCTTCCTTTAGATGACCACGGGTCATATCATAGTTCACCCTATACAAAAATCTAGCAAGATGTTGGCTTGTTATCATTTATGCTAGTTAGGGGTGTACAAATCAAATCGAAAAATCGCACCAAAACGAAAAGTCAAACCAAATTGATTAAAAAATCCGACTAGGTTTGGTTTGATTTGGTTTGGTATTGAGTAAACAAATTCGAACCAAAATGACATATAAATATATAATTTTTATATATTCTTTTAAGACTTTATATAGAATTTTCTTTAAGAAATATCTAAAAATATTTGGGATTCTCTTGCGGGATATAATATTTAATAGTATATGAAGTGCTCCATATTTATTAACCTTAAATAATGGGTTGTATGATCACTTTCTCATCAAGTGTACTCAATTGCGTCAATCTCTTTGTTCTTCCATATTCACATCATATGTTAAGATCTATTAAATTGTTATATCTTTTCCGAATGTGAAGTGATTAATATTATTATTTAGGTATCATACTGATTTTTATGTTTAATTATTAAATTCGGTTAACCTTGAAAGTGTAAATTAACGAAACATTATTGTCAGACGATTAAAAATAACTATTATGTGTTACTAAGAAAATAGATAATATGTTTGTCAATTTTTTTTATATTTTTACTAAACATATATTTATTTATCAAAAAATTTAACAAAGTAAGATTGAAATAATACTTAAGTAACAAAAAATCCGGAAAACACGAAAAATCCGACAAAACCAACCGATCTAAACCGATATAGTTGGTTTGGTTCGGTTCGGTTTTGATAAAAACCGAACCAACCCGGTCCATGTACACCCCTGATGCTAGTTATCTAACTAACATCACGATATCTTGCCAACACTGAAGAAAATGTTTTATTAAATAACAAAAAAATTGTCTTTATTAAAGTAACCAAGTATTCTTGCGATATCTTTTCAAAGATAATTACCCAATTATTATGAGTATATATTGATATTTTAAAATTGCATTGACAACATTTGCCTTAGTACGACTCGCCATATACATTAACGTTTCATCTGTAGAGACATATTCTAATTTGGAAAAATGGAGTCTATCCATTTTTATGTGGAGTTTTATTAATGGTAAAGGTAAATACTAGACAATTTAGTGAGGTTAAGGATATAAATGAATAAAAATATAGCGTAGAACCAAATTAAACAATTTTGAATAGCACGGGGTAAATTCGAACATGCTTTCATGGACTGTTCAAACCCTGAAAATGCCATCATATCCATTCTTTAGAAAGGGCAATTCGGTCATTTAATAATCAAATGAAAATGAAACACGAGCATCTGTTAGAGAGAGAGAGAGAGAGAGAGAGAGAGAGAGAAAGAGAGAGAGGGGAGTGGAGAGAGAAAATAAAGATCTTCTAG